TATCCCATTTTTGCAAAAAAGGCCCATTTTCAAATGACTATTCAGGGGGCAGGGTTTTGACTAAAACATTCTTTTTGGACTCATTTTCTTCGAAGGGACACCAACTATCCTCTAGTTAAAAAAAAATATTTTTTTTACAAATTTAGTTGTAGGTATATAATTGTTACCAAATAGAAGGCACTTTTTCCCTAATAAACAAATAAAATAATTTCGCGGTTTTTAACTTTTGAAAGAAGTTATATACACCATTCGAAAGCTCGTAAAAAAAACTACAAATTGAAAAAACAAATTTCTAAATAGGTCCAGAGTTAGCAAATTTTGTTTTTAAAATCACAGCAATTTGTTATAAACATTAAGACCTGAAATGTTAACATTTTGTAAATGAAGAGATAAACTCAACCAGGAAAAAACTTTGTAATATCTCAACTTATATGAAACGTTTTTAATTTGGGGTAGCTCGACGAAAAAATACTTTTCAACAATAAAATCACGCCCAGTAATTAATAAATTACAAAATGTTTCCTTTCCTGGTCTAATAAGACAAAGGTTTAAAGCGATTGCATTTATGAACATATATAATTTCATATATGTAGTATTATATTGTAATACGATGTTATTACAGCCAAAAATAATTGTCATAATTTATTAAAATATGTGTGTATGTGTGTTATATGTTGTGAAGCAAAGTATAGTATAAATATTTCATTGTTTATATGCTACTGTATTTTTTACTTGTATTGAAAGTTTATTATGCTCTATAAATAAAAAAAGATTTAAAAAAACATACTTCTTTTGAAATTTTCCCATTTTATTTTATTATTCCAAATTGAATTACACAAATAACCACATGTTGAATGTAATCCATTTCTAATGACTAATTTGTATATCGAAAAGTTTATTTAAATTTCCCGCCACCTATCCTCATTCATACTCTATTGCGCTGTTGCCGTTACTACCTCGCGTTTATTACTTGGCGGACGTCAAAACTTTTTATTTTTGATAATTTATTTCTCTGTGAAATGTGCTGTAACCTACTTTTTTCTTTCTCCCATCTATTAATTAATGATTCAAGTAAATGTCTATATTTTTTTCGTCTTACCATTTGCATTTTTTCACCCGTAAATCGATTGTATAGCATTTCCCATAACAAGCCATGTTGAATATTCAAATTTTTGCCATTATTAAAACAGTCTTAAAAAAAAGTACTAAAAATGTATTTTTATTTGTGGGTAAGTTGGTATAAATCGCCAGATTGTGACGCCCCTGTGTATTTTGAATGGACCAGAAGGCAACACATCGAAGGCAATCAGGTTTTTTACGTACGTATGTTTTTTGACTTGTCAAAATCTCAGTGTTTCTATACGGTGTATTTTTGACAAAGATCCATACAATATTTAATTCGGGCATTTACCTCTCTCGTATATGAAATCATGCGTTCTCTGGAATCGAGCCAAACAGTTGAATCAACCTTCACGTGAATCCGATATAAAAAAAATGAGGCGACAAACAGTGTAAAATTTTTATTTTGAATTTTTTTAGATCGGTCTAAAAATACTTCACAGCTAAATTTAATATCCAGAGTAAAAAGGTACAAGTTACTGAATTTCGCTAGCCTTCTTTAACTCTGAAAATGTACAATAATATTTATATTGTAACTTTTCCTGTGCGTACGGTGAGCTTTATTTTGGCACCGAAGTTTGTATAAAATATAGAATACTAAAAAGGAACTATAAATTAAATTTTAAGTAATAATCTTTTGCAGTTTAAACAAACGGAATTTTTCGCATTTTGACTGAAGATATGCTATTTTACTACAAAAATCGTTTACTAAAGCGGCACTTTACCACATGAAATGTCACTTTACTATATAATAATGTCATATATCAATAAAAAAATAGATTGGCAGGAAAATGTTTATTTAAATATTGTAAACATTATATTATATACCTAGGCTGATTCAAAATTCAGTACAAATAATTTAGGGGCGTATTTTTGAGGTCAAAATAACACTTTTTTCCTATAAACGTGAGTCCAAAATAAATTTTAAAATTTTTCATCGTAAATGGTTATAAAATTTGAAAATATGGTGTGCTTTTAACTCTTCATCAGTCAATGTCTCTGAAACGGTCGGTCTGAGAGATTTCGACCAAGTATACCTTTTTTGCTTAGAATTCATAGGGGAATAAACGCACTAATATGAAACGTCAATGTACAGGGTAGGAAAAAAGTTAGGGTCAATTTAATTCCAGCGTACCCTTATAAATGGCGCCCTCTACAAGCAGCGTCAAAAGCAATGACATTTGAATTTACCATCCTAAAACACCCCCGTGCTACAGGCTATTGATTAATGGATTTTAAAAGGAACTATGATGTTCAAGATATTTTATTACATCAATCGTTCAAATGGTCATTTTAGATGAAAAAACCGCGGAGTGGAATTAGAGGGTGGAAATTGGAGATAGGGGTGAAAATGCACCCCTTTCAGTAGCCCGAAAACGAAGCAAAATTTCGCTATAGTTCATAAGAAAAATTTTGTAGAGAATTGAGTTTCCCATCGAAATAGCTTATTTAAAAGGAAAATTTTATGCAAAAAATCGCTAATAAACTATTTGAAAAAAAGCAAAAAATTCGATTTTTTGATTTTTTTTTACTTTTTGCCTCTAGTTTTTTTGTTGAGTAAAGATAGGTATAGGCATTGCTTCATAGAAAAAAAAAGTAGATACAATTTCCTTCAAAATAAGAGGTTGTAAAGTATTTTTGGATGAAAATTGACTGATATATGGACTTACAATTAGCCAATTTTTCGATTTTCGTCGCGTTTACCCTTACCTATAGGTACGTTTTAATTTTCATTTTTTGCAAAAAAGGAAGGAAATAAGACGTTCAAGGATTTTCATGACATGACTTGTTCGAAGGGTCATTAAAAATGCAAAAACCGCGGGGTACTGTTAAATTAGAGGGTTGAAATTGAAGATAGGGGTGAAAATGCACTTTTGCAGTTTTTTAAATATAGCACGAAAACGAAGCAAAATTTCGGTATACTTCATAGGAAAAATTTTGTAGAGAATTGAATTTCCCATCGAAATGGTTTATTTAAAAAATTTAAATGAAAAATTTTATGCAAAAAATCGTTAATTAACAATTTTAAAAAAAGCTAAAAATAAGATTTTTTTATTTTTTTTACTTTTTTGATTCTAATTTATGTTAAAAACGACGAAAATCTAAAAAATATTTAAGTTTGACTGGTTATAACTCATAATCAGTCAATATTAGTCGAAAAATTTTTGAAAACGCATCATTTTGAAGGGAATCTCATCTAGTTTTTTTGTGCAGCAATTTTCTTTGCCTACTTCTACTAAATAAAAATAGTCAAAAAAGTAAAAAAATCAAAAAATCTTATTTTTTACTTTTTTAAAATTGTATATTAACGATTTTTTGCATAAATTTTTTCTTTTAAATTTTTTAAATAAACTATTTCTATGGGAAATTCAATTCTCTAAATGATTTTACCTATGAACTATTGCGAAATTTTGCTTCGATTTCGAGCTACAATTAAAAAACTGAAAGGGGTGCATTTTCACCTCTATCTCCAATTTCCACCCTCTAATTTAATAGCACTCCGCGGATTTTTCATCTAAAATGACCCTTTGAACTATTCACGCAATAAAATTGCTTGAACATCATAGTTCATTTTAACCGTGTTTTTTAGATATAATCAATAGCCTACAAGTTTTATGCGTACATTCAAATCTATTTGGAAATTATTCCTAAAAAATCGAAAAAATAATACACTTTGACACCCTGTATATGGAAAACTAAGCATTTGTGGACACACGTTTATAGGAAAAAATTCTTATTTTGATCTCATAAATACGCCATTAAATTCTTCGCATTGAAAAGCAGTTTTACTAAACTCATATATAGCTTTATTCGTTTGGTAAAACTTTGCTTTTCTAAACTTGCTGTTTAATAAACTATTATTGGTTAGTAGGTACTGGTAATAAAGGAAATGATAATTAAATAAGTATGCGCTTGATTAGATGACTTAATAATGTCGCTTTATCTGTGTCGAGTTCATTTCACTACATTGTTTTGAAACAAAAAGATTATCTAGAGAGGAGGATTTTCGTCCACATACATTTTTAAACCATCACCTTTTTTTAATTAAACAGTTATTCGACTTCAAATATGTTTCCAAATAAATGGGACTCGTCGCAATTTATTAAACTCTTAAAATGCTAATTTGTTGTAATCAATATTTAACATATGACATGTAATAAAAATAAACAGTACCAAATCAATAAAAATACCGAAGTATCATCTCTTCGCTCGCATCTATCGCCAAAAAGTGTTTTAAAACTGAGCTCTACTTTCCGTTTCACCTTCGGCACGGCCACAGTCCGAAAAAATTGCATCGGAATTGCCTCATTACGGGAAGCCTTTCTAAATGCCGCGAACCATGCCCGATAATTCCCAAACTACATCCACCAAAATTCGGCATTTAATATTTCAGCGGTGACGTAATGCCCATTCGTTGCTCGGAGGGAAGAGAAGTAGGCCTCCTCGTTCCGCAGCGGGCCGGTTCTTCAGGCGGCGTTGCCAGATTGACCCGAAATAAGCTCAATCTGTATTAATTTAATTCGTAACTCGTTTTCACATTTTTCTGTAAGCACTGAATCGTGAAAGCCGGCCCTGGTTCTTGAAAGTGAAAACTGTTTGTGGTTTTGAAACCTTTATAAGAGATTTTTGTGGATTTAAAAAAGGATTATGGAGTCCAGTCTATAAAAAGTTTAATGCATAAACAATAATTAGTATGTAAAATTGCACTACAAGCGACTTGATTTTTTTTTATGTCGGGAAAAACCTAAAAAAGTCGGGAAATTCTATATTACTTTTGAACTATGAACCCTGTTTTGTAACGTTTGATCGGCCTCTGCATTTATGGTACTTTTTCTCCAAAATACCATGTATAAATTTTAACTTCACTGGTTTTATTTGTATAATTACTTCAGTTTATGTTCAGAATTTATGTAAGATTTATAATTTTTCTTTTTTTTTTTTCTTTGAAGGAAAATATACCAAACCCAATAGAAATAAGACCTCACACTAGTAATAAGGTAATTCAAATTTTATTTCTTTTTCTTATGCGATTCGCTCCGACGTGATACGAATAACTCTGTTTCCATTATTTTTCTTTCATTTCACTTAGGGCGATTCGAAGTCGTCTCCGTTGTTCACCAACACCACCAAGTCGATAATCTGGGGCATGCAGAACCGCGCCATCCAGAGCATGCTGGATTTCGACTTTGTCTGCCGCAGGAACGAACCTAGCGTAGTGGCGATAATCTACCCGTTCACGGGCGACCACAAACAGAAGTTCTACTGGGGTCACAAAGAGATCTTGATCCCGGTGTATAAGCAAATGAAAGACGCCATGACGAAACATGCCGACGCCGACGTGCTGGTCAACTTCGCCTCGTTGCGTTCCGCCTATCAGAGCACCCTGGATACCTTGGAGTTTCCACAGATCAGGACTATCGCTATTATAGCGGAGGGGATCCCCGAGAATCTAACTAGGAAGCTCATCAAGCAAGCCGACCAGAAGAAGGTTACCATTATAGGCCCTGCGACGGTCGGCGGAGTGAAACCGGGCTGTTTTAAGATCGGTAACACGGGCGGCATGATGGACAACATCCTGCATTCGAAACTGTACAGACCGGGAAGCGTAGCTTACGTGTCGAGGTCGGGGGGGATGTCTAACGAACTCAACAATATCGTGTCCAAAGCGACGGACGGAGTTTATGAAGGCGTTGCGATCGGCGGGGACAGATATCCCGGGAGCACTTTCATCGACCACATCATGAGGTAATGAGCAATTTATTTGAAAATACGAAGGTAAAAATGGAATGGGACGTTGAATAAAAAACTTTTTTTTCTTAGGTATCAGGAAGACGAGAGCATTAAGATGATCGTGTTGTTGGGCGAAGTGGGCGGTACGGAGGAGTACGAAGTTTGCACGGCGATCGAGACGAAGCAGATCACGAAACCGCTCGTCGCTTGGTGTATAGGTCAGCGAGGCTCTTGTAAATAACGTGTTTTCGTGTATACTAACGGTGGCTGATTGTAGGTACCTGCGCTGGAATGTTCACATCCGAGGTCCAGTTCGGACACGCGGGTTCCTGCGCCAACTCGAACAAGGAGACGGCGAATGCGAAGAACGAGGCGCTCGCCACGGCTGGTGCCCATGTACCTGAATCTTTCGATTTCTTAGGTAATTATTATCGTACTACGTACGTTACAAGAATTAAGCATTAATTTTTCATGCTGTTACAAATCTGGTGATTCTGCTGATGATTTCGCCTAGTGTGACATTAGTAATGCTTTCTTAGCACTTACAGATTAGCAGGTCACTCTCTGCCGGTGGGTACAGAGCAATTATTTGGTCCAGTGGGCACTGAATCGCAATGACATTTACTTTGTAGGTTATATCTCGTCCACACTTGAAAAGTGAAACGCAAAGTAAATTTCGAACATCTTGAGGAAGCCCCGAATTTATCTAAATTAAAATTTTAGTTAATTATCACAATTTTTGAATTTTCAAAAAAAGTTATTTTCAAAATATTCTTATATCTGCTTTAAGTTGTGTTAAAACAAAACTCCAGTATGAAAAACACCTTGTACCAATATTTAATGCTTTACTTAATGGTATTTTTAACATGAAAGTGTTGAGTGTTAGCAAATAGGCAACCAGCAATACATTTTCTATAGATTTTATTACACAGTTTTTCCAAATTTGAATTAATGCACAAATAACAGACTTTCCTCCATTCTATCGCAGATTTTCTATAAAATGGAGTTAGTTTGAAAGTCAAATTATTTTTCGTTGTAAAGAAATTTGTAATTTGCTGTTTTTAAACAAGTAAATTACAAATTTCTCTACACTAAAAAGTAATTTGAGTTTGAAACTAACTCCATTTTATAGAAAATCTGTGTTAAAATGAAGGAAAGTCTGTTATTTGTGCATTGATTCATATTTAGACGAACTGTGTAATAAAATCTATAGAAAATGTATTGTTGGTTGCCTATTTGCTACAAAACACATTTTTCTTTCTAGGTGACGTAATACAAAACGTATACGAACACTTAGTCAAGCAGGGGCACATCGTGCCCGCCCCGGAGGTCCCGCCCCCAACCGTGCCCATGGACTACAACTGGGCCAGGGAGTTGGGCCTCATCCGTAAACCGGCCAGTTTCATGACTTCGATTTGCGACGAACGCGGCCAGGAATTGATTTACGCTGGTAGGAATCGAATAATTACCCCACGATTACGACGAACGACACATTATTTGTTTTTCAGGTATGCCCATATCCGACGTCCTACAGAAGAACGTCGGGATCGGCGGCGTAATTTCCCTGCTCTGGTTCCAGAGGTGCCTGCCCCCCTACTGCTGCAAATTCTTCGAGATGTGTCTGATGGTGACGGCCGATCACGGACCGGCCGTTTCTGGGGCCCATAACACGATCGTTTGTGCTCGTGCTGGCAAGGATCTGGTTTCCAGCTTAGTGTCGGGCCTGTTGACCATCGGAGATAGGTTCGGTGGGGCTCTGGACGGTGCCGCCAAGACGTTCAGCGAAGCCTACGATAAAGGTTAGTAATCCTACACTTTCTAAACCTCAATTCCTCTTCCTTCTCCTCCTCCTCCTCCGCAAATGATACAAATTTACACATTCACAGATTAGCAGGTCACTCTCTGCCAGTAGGTACAAAGTAAAGTTTTGTGTCAGTAGGCGTTGTGTACAATGACATTTAGGTACGCTTTTTTAGGTTATATCTCACTCACACTTAAATTCAAGGTTGATAATAGAAATTTTGTCACAAAATGGCGGGTGATCGCAGTACTTGATCAATCTAGGAACTTTATTTGGCATTTAGGGCATCTTTTGNAGCCACGCTAAATTACTAGATAATTACATATAACATTTATTTTAATAACTATTACCCTTTACTGGTTACGATATGAACAAATAATAATATCAACTAATAAATAATAATACGTATTATACCAACAACATACCCCGCCAAGGAATGCTCTGCACGGCACTGGCAAAGCGGCAAAGCTAAGTGATCCCGTGTACCATAGAAAAAAAATTATTTACGACCTAGTGGACCAATACAGGTTTCCTTTGATGACCAGCGCGTCGCCGTCAATTCTACATCGGTCGGACTAGTTTACCAATACCGGACTCGCCGAATTGCTATTCGAGTATAAATTACGAGACACATCATGGTCAAAGCATAAGAAGAAATTTCAGGAGAAGTGCATACGGTTCTGTGCTTTAAGATTGACAGGTTCCAATTGACATCGTAACAACTATAACTAATAACATGTGCAAGGTCTTCTCTGGATTTCTATTCTACGTAAATAATAATCCTTACAAAATTCTACTATAGTCACTACAAGTAAAATGCTTATAAACTGGACCACTGACTATTATCTACTGCTTCTAGCTTTCTTCTACTTTTCTTTGATATTGCTCTCGACAGAAGTAGGATTTCTCGATACTTCGGGGCGATCCGGCAACGCCGCCGTCA